GAAATGGGATGTAAAAGGAGTGCGCACGAGTTATGCATGCACGCGTTCCGATCTGCCTGGATCGAACAGGCGAACTAAGGATGTCAGTATCCGATTACAGTCCTTCCCTCTTCCAGCTGAGCTAAGATCGGCATCATTAGATGAGAACTATGGATTCGTAAATCTATCTATCCCACATAGTGTCGTGGCCCGCATTCACTGCAACAGCACACTTGGCTTCATTGTCATGTGCAAAAACCAACCGCTCACCCCCTTGGTGGATTTACTCGCATCGCACATGCCGGCACGGTGTGCTGCCTTCCAAGTCCGGAGTGGTTAAAGATCTCGGAGCTGAGGACCTGGATGGAGGTACCTGCAATTATACAATGCCGCTACGCAAGCAACGCATCGTATTTTCACGATTTTTTTCCAGGCTGTATCCGTTCTAAGTTTTACATCGCGCTCGAGCGCTCGTGCCGACTGCATGTGACAGCAGCGTTACCAGCAGCGTTCACGGCAAGCAGTTCACGGCAAGCAGAGGATGACTCAATCTGCCGTAAGCCCTTTCTATCGACACCTCGAGTCCCTCTACGGCCCTCTAATCGAATCTCGGCCTCCAGGGGCCCACAGTACTACGTCGCACCTCTTATCGCAGCCCGCACGCTCTCTTCACTCAGATTGGTCGTTCACTCTCGCTTTCTAAATGGACTGCAGTCGCACGAAATAAAAGAAGAGACAAAACATGAATTTATTTCCTATTCACGAAGAAACTGCGGGTGCATGCGCAATCCTTTACACCCGTCATCCATAGAAACATAACAAAGGTAGGGGAGGCACGCAGAGAGAGGGAGAGGCTGCTCGGTCGGCAAATGTAATCCAAGGTCCCGGAGGCACATCGCGCTGTATGTACCCCCAAAGGACACGGATATGCAGTGCGCGATGTCCCCCTCCCCGCAGAGGACCGTCAGAGCTCACAGCCGCTCAATCTGATCCGGACGACGGCCCCCCGGTCGAGAAAGGGGGAGAGGAATCCAAAGAAGGGAAGAAGGCAGGGAAGGGCGCATTGAACGAGTCGAAGCAGAAGACGAGTAGGTGAATGGAGTCGCGGCGAGTTGTTTCTCCCATCGCCAGCTTCCCTCATCTCCCCTCCCCTCCCCTCCCCTCCCTGGCTCATTATGGGGATAAGGGTCTCCTTCTGCCCGGGGGGATACACCCTCCACCTTCAGCAATACTTGACACCCTTGGCCGCCGAAATGAACGACGACACCTTGGCGGGGTCCTTCTTCAGACCTGACACGACAGCAGCAGGGCCCCCGGGGTGCACATGTGTGCTACACAAAATTTCCATCAAATAAAACATTAATTCTGGTGGCGGAAATTTTGGAGGATACAGAACGAGTGCCACACATGCGGGTGGCATTTGAGGGTTTCATAGAGCTCGAGGGTTGGTGAACAGGAGCGCGTCCTACGTACAGTGCCCAAACCCGAACAATAAACATGAACACGTCCGCCAAACCTACATACGCTGCAACCCGTGTCTCCCTCAACCCGCCTCCCCCTGAGATGCACGGCCACATCGCCCCATCGATGGCTCTTTCGGAGCCCCGTCCCCCGCCCTATCCATCCGACCCGGGACCCACCATCGGGTCCGCACACGCCGCTCGACACGTCCACCGCCGTGGGCTTGGCCAGCCCCGCCGCAATGGCCACGTTATCCGGGCTGAGGCCCCCCGCTAGCAGCCACCCCCGGGTGGCCTCCCCAGCAGGTACCCGCAGGTTGCGCCAATCTAGGGCCTGACCAGAACCGCCCTGCAGCATGTATGTATGTATGTATGTATGTATGTATGTATGTATGTATGTATGTACGTATGTGGTGGGGTCGAAAACCGAAGACAGACCGCCAATCCCAGTCCAATGAGGTGGGCACGGGAGGGGGACAAGGAAAAGGAGACACCAAAGGGTCCCTAACGGGTGGATTGCGGGTGGGGGCCATCCTGGGTCGACAAGGGAATACCACATCACCACTACAGACACCACATACTTAAAGCACTGGAAAAGAAGAGCTGACTGACTTTGAGACAGTGGCCTGCCTGCTTCAGGAGGAGCCGTCGCACCTACACCTACACCTGAGCACACACACACACACACACACACACACACACACACACACCTGCGCGCTGTCCACCAGCACCCACTCCGGCTGCCGTGCTCCCGGCTTGCCCATCTGCCTCAGCAGCTCACTGGGGGGCTGGGTCAGAGGCGTGCCATCCGGTGCGCAGTTGAGCACGTACACCACTTCCAGGGAGGGGTCCAGGCCGGGCAGGGCCGCCCTGCGTGACCGGGACCGAATGGGGGCCCGGGCAGGAGGGGGTGGGTGAGCGGGTCGGCAGGGAGAGAGGGACTGGGGACCCCCCCGTGGGGAGGCGGGAAGCGAGATCTTACGGGGCGGCGGAAGGAAGGGGGGGAGGCACGGGTGGGGAGGAGCGCGTGTTGCAACACAGTGGGTCGGGGTTGCCCCCGCTGCATCGCTCCTCACGGACGTGTATTACCAGTGGCAGCAATGAGGGTCGTCAGCTCCCCAAACCACTACTGGTGCCCCTGTCTGGTGACCACACATCCCATCGCTCGCTCTCTCCTCTTCCCAAGTTGCCATCCGCAAATCCGCAAACCCGCCCACCCAGGTACCCACCCCTGTTGTGCTAAACGGAAAGTCGCTCACGTGAACGTGCGTTAAGGGACAGGAGTGAAACGCGAACACGCGGGTAGGGAATGTGCTTCAGCTTTTAGTAATTGGTTGCGCGCGTGTTGTGTGCACAGTCTGGTGTCTGTGGGTGTGGGTGTGGTCTACTCCGACCTCTGCGCCGAGCTACACGAGCACGTGAGCAACGCTTCCTCTTATACACACACACACACACGCACACACAGCCGAGTGTGCAGCCGTGTACCTGGCGCCATCTCCGTGAAGTTGCGCCACGGGTATCCCCGCATCTCGACAGCTATATTGGACAGAGCAGAGGGGACATGAGTGAGGGGGAGAGGGAGGGGGAGGAGGAGAGTGCGGATGTAATCGGGTTCGCATTAGGGAAAAACCAAGCACCACTCAAGAGACATAAGAGGGAGTGACTTTATGGACACCATCAATATATAGTGTTGATTGCATGTGGGGGATGTGTTGATATGCAACGCGATATACACTTCTCGCGGATTTCACGGCATCCAGTACCAGGGTGCTGCATCATGTGCCCTGGCGAGTAAGATGCCCAGGAACAAGAAGCAACAAGAGGACGGTGGGCGGCGACCGCTCAGACGGAGGGTGTACAACCGTCCGGCCCCCAGCCTCTACCGTGCTGAGATGGTCGCGGCATCCTCGTCTACAAACACCCCGACTGCACGTGCGCCGCCCTCCCGGGCGACTGCGGCGATGCTGCGGGCTGTGTCGGCGCTCACTGCCCGTTTGGCCTTCTGCCACATGATCATACCTGCGAGTGGGAGTGCGAGAGCGAGTGCGAGCGCGAGTGGGGCTGGGAGTGCGAGTGCGAGGTACATGGCGGGAGATGGGATGGCGGGAGAAGAGAGAGAACAACCGCGAAATTTTACGTCCAAAGTAACTCCCAGATGGCAGATAGACAGAGAGACATACACACATACAGACAGGCAGGCAGGAGTAGGTTGCCGCACGACGACCGCGGTGGGCGAAGGGGCAGAGAACGGTGTCGCGCAGGGTGGCGGATGCTGAAATGGGGCAGCAAACTCGATGCGGCTTTGCCTCGCGGGGTACGCAACATGTTTATGGCTTGTTAGAGATGAGGATGCAGGTTGCGCGGGTGGCATGGTGATGGTGCGCTCTCGCCTCGCCCTGATCACGACTGGAAGGGGTATGTGTGTGTATGCTTCGAGGGTGTTGAGAAAGCCAACGCCGTCCACATAGGCTGCATTAACAGATTATGTTAATGTACTCACCAATAAAATCGGCCCCGGAGTTGACAGCGTGACGAGCGTCATCTGGGTTCGTGATGCCGCAGATCTGCGTTCATAAGGGAGGGTAAGCATGTCGTGCGGGACGTGTACGTCAGGGTAGCAAGGCGAACGAAACACCCAGGGCCGTACGTTTTGTATCAAGCGTTCGCGCCGTAAAGGTTGCTTACGGACCAGCGTGCAGCAAGTCCTACCTTAACTATCGGTCCATTTGCGGATGCCGGTTGATGTGACGCCAGGCTAGCTGAAAGGCTACAAAACACATGCTCTGACTTCAGAAGTTTGTTATGCGCGTTTTGCATCCATTTTTGTAACTCCTTACCGCAGGCAGATTCGCCGCCGCGGGTGCAATCGCGCTTTGGTCCCACCCGCTCGTTGATGGTTTTGCACCTTCTGAAGTGACATCATTTTCCTAAAGTAGGCATTAGACATTGATCACCATCTTGCACTTAACCAATTGATTTTGTGCTTGCGCTTTTTCGGTTTGCTCGTCCCACGTTCGCATCGTCGTCAATCCATGCAAGGCCATCGCAATCTGTTGCTCCCTGTTTCGTCGTCGGGGGTGAATAGGCATCTCTGACATAGGTCACGATAGCGGATTCTGGTTGCTTGCTTGTGAATCATTGCAATTCAGCTCTCCGCCCTAGCTGAGACTTCAGCGAAAGTTGCAAGCCGCCCTTGCTAATTTCGGCACCTTCACGTATTATAGAAGTACAGATGGCTGTGTTAGGCACTGGCCGCTGCTCCCTTCCCTCTCGGCAGAGGCTATCGGTCGTCGCAGCGCATAAAGCACGGAGCTTGAAGCAGGTTGCTGTGTCACGGACTCTAATTGCTAAGAAAGATCATGAAGCTCAGGTGGCGAGCATAGCTGGAGAAATCCTGAAATGGTCAGAACAAGAATGCGAAGTCGCCGGAAAGGGCATCGTGGCGTTCGACTGTGTCCGCGACGGATGGGAGGCCAATACGTTCCATTTTTGGTGAGCGTGAAAGTAGTATTGGACTTAAGCAGCCGCAGGAGCCGGAAAAAACACGTGTGGTCCTTAAACCCGCCTCAGGGAGCGGTACGTAAACACTGAAGCATTTGGAGCCCATACCACGGCACCACGGATGATCGAGCTCCTGGAAAAGGTAAAACCCTGCCATGTGACATGTACGCTGTGCGTTTGCATTCCTGGCTATGCGTCCCTTCGGCTAGGTGACATCCCACGCCTGCGGATATGCAACGGCACAAAACGTGATGCCCTTGTGTCCGATGATGCAAAGCGCAAGCGACTGTAATACGGAAGGCAGGAAACATGTCTGGCTGTGTTGAGCACCGCCAGGTCCCTTTCCATGCATCTCCGATTCGCATCCTGTTACTTGATGGCTAGGAAGAAGCCAGGGTCTGGGCTCATCACCAGGGCCCCGCCGGTGCTGCAAAGCCACGAATTGTTGGACATCAATGCCGGAACGGGTCCGAAAGGAGATGGCAACATGCGCATATACAACACACATCAAGTGTCGAAGCTCACCCGCTCTGATTGTAAACCCTGTCCGGCCGCAGCTGCAGCCCCACCTGGAGAAGCCGATTGGCATGTCGTTGTACAGCTATGAGGACGGCCGCATCGGCCCCGTCGCCATCCAAGCGGGTAAGAGAGAGAGAGAGTAGTAATGCAGCTCCAGCAGCTTCCGCAAGATGATGCAACACTATGACGACTGTGATATTGGGCACTTGCGTGCGGCTGCGCCCGCAACCTGCAGGGCCCAAAGGGGAGGGCGGCCTGGATGACGCCACCGGAGCCAGCGGAGCGGCGGGTGGCGCATCCTACAAGCAGACATCGCGAGCCTTTGATCTCAGTACGTTGCGCTGTCTGGGCCGCACACCTTGCTGATGCACCTGACTGATTGGGTCTGGCTGATGTGTGTGGTGGCTTGGCATTACAAAGGAAAACCTCAGTCTGGGGCCGGTTTTAGGAAATTGAATGCCGCAGCGACGCAGGCATTGAGTTAGGCTGCGTCACTGCGACAGCCGACAGGGCGCTGGTGTGCCACCTTACCTGGACTCCCTAGGTGACAGAAAGGGTTTCCAAGTAACACAGCGATCTAAAACGCACCGGATGGACAGGCGTACGTTCGGACCATGCATGCACGCCGCTTTGCCTTTCAGCGTGTGCATCCGCGCGTCTTCACATCATCGACACGCGACCCAGCTCGTTTCAACGTGTATTTATTACACACCATAATAAAATGTGCTTCGAGGATTAGGACTCATGGTGAACATCGCATCCCCATCCGCCGTGCAGCCAAGGTGGACGAGCACGCCGAGGCCCATCGGGAGCAGCTGCTGCTGTCGTCCATGGACCAACAGCCGGCGGCGGATCAGCAGCCAACTGGCAAGGCAGCCGGGGAGACGGCGCCCCGCCCGCGCAGCCCGTTGCCGTCGCTTCAGGACATTCTGGGCTTCGCGGCCGCCGTCAAGGACAGTGTTTTGGGCCCGCTGTGCAAGCTGCTGCGGCACTGAGGGTCCTATGTGGGATCGCAGAATCATGCGATAGATGCAGCGGTAGGCGCGCAAGGTTAAGTGTGGTGGGAATTACAGAAGTGGCGGCAGTGCGCATTGCACTGGTGGATAGGATTGGAGGAGGCGCAGGGGTGCGAATGGAACTTTTGAGGATATAGGATGGGGGTTTTGGCAGTAGTAAAAGCGAGTGTTCATATGGTAAGTTTGCCATGTACGTGCTCTGTTGGCAGAGACGTGAGGGTAACGCACAGCAGCTGCATAGACTGGCAGACTGTCGTAGAGATTCTTTTATGCGAATTGCGTCCAGTTGGTTTGCGAAAAATATCACTTATCACATGCTGAAGCGAATATACATAAGGTAATACAGTGAAACGATATCGACCGACGTGTTCTTACAATAACCCATGGGACACATTTCTTCGAAAGTGCAGTGCTTCAGCAGGTACAGTAAACAGCATATCTCGGTCTACTATAAAACCTCTTCACTGACACTTAGTTAAAACTTTTTTCACACGGCGACGCAAAATTCTTCTTATGCATGGTACCTTGCTCTCTCTGCACGGGATCCGACCCCTGCAATCTACAGGCGAGCTCGGAGAGCGACACACGCGTGTATTCAGCCCAAGGCATCATCCCCACGTGGCCCAGCAGTAGCAGCTGTAACAACAACACGCGACACGAGATCATGCATACGTTGCTACAGCATGGGTCAACCTCTCGCGTTGAAGACGTATCAACACCAACAACCCTCTCTCGAACTCTCAAGACGAAAAAGGCAGGCCTGCCACGTCTTTACATACATACATACGTACACGACTTCTAAATATAAAACATTCAGCGGCTTCAGCTTTCACCGCGTTGTCCCAACCACCCGAATGGCATTCTTTAGGTACACACACCGTCGTGGTGGCGCTGACGGTCCAAGCCAACACAAAACAGCATTCTTCATTCGTTCGCCGTGTGCTCTTTCAACTGCGGGACCTTAAGTCCATGCACAACAGTTTACTGCAGCTTTTGTACGCTTACGTAACGAAAAGCAAGCGCGCGTAATTCATTACAGCTCGCTTTTGCGCACATGATCATCCAGTTACGCAGTAGCGTTAACAACTGTGCCATTAGTAGCCGCCGCCTGGTATGCCTGGGCGCCCGCTGCTGCCGCCTGCTGTTGCACCTGCTTGCGTCGCCGTGCCTCGACCATCGTGACGGCCACGTCCATAATGCCTGTTTACGTAGTTGGGGCAGAGATATTGTCCGAATATGGTCCATGACAAGGGTGCTGGGGCTGCTGGCGCCGAAACAAGAGCACCTCTGCATTTCCGCTACTGCCAAAAGAAAATGCCCATGCCGACAGCCGGGAGCTTCGCACGCGCAAATCAACTGGGCGCCCGACCACAAGAGCGCCGGCCCCAACACGCACCTGGTCCCTCATCGCCCAACAGATGTTTAAATCCGCCCTTGGCCGATGAGTCGAAATACCCACAACCCCCCGCACCCTTTCCACATCACATCGCACACCGCACTGCTCCACCTCACCTGACCGCCCCAGGCCTGGCGGCTGTACCGGCTTGTTGAGCCACTCAGCTCCCTCCGCAAGCAGCTTCTCCCACTTCTCATCGGCGTCCACAAGCTGCTCTATGTAGCGTGCCTCCGCCTCCGTGGCGGCCCAGGCGCCGGCCTTGGTGGTCACACCCGCGGCCTGGAGGCGCGGAAAGGAGGGTGCGGGAGGTTGGGAGGACAGAGACGCCTCTGACCCAGATGGGACCCGCCCGGCCAGCAGCGTGGCCATAGGGCGTAACCCCAGGCGGCGAAAGCCATGACAACGGTTACAGAGGACATGCGCGGAGACGTCGGCGTGGCAGAAGAGGGCTAAAGCCAGCGGTTCAGTGCTGTAGCGGAAGGGGGCCACGGCTAAGGGTCCACTGCTTTCCTTCCCCCCGCTTCAGCAAACATTCTAACAGGCCTGGCGCGAGGCAGGGAAATGATTTCGAAAGGATAGTTGGTTATTTGTGTACGCATGACCTCCAGCCTCCCTCTTAAACTGCCAAGCACGCGCACATGCAACACATACTAAGCTTTTCCCGACAGCACAGCGCACGACGACCATTACGTCCCTAGTGGGGCAGCCATCAATTGATGCCAACCAATTCTCCACCCCGGCCGCCACAGCATTATATCGCGTATCCCTAGCTCGCCCTGCACTCACCGCACCGCGCTCCGCCAGGGCCGTGCGCCAGTCCCCGCCCTTCACCACGAATTCCTGGAACTGGCCCAGCTTGCGGAACTTGGCGTAGCGGTCCAGCTTGATCTCCTCCTCCGACATGTTCGCGTAGCTAGGGAGGAGTTGGCATGGAAGGTGGGAATTACACGACGCTGAAGCTTAAAAATGGAAGCTTGCAAAGCAGCACTCCAGCCAGCCGTGAGACATGCAACAATGCAACTGCCCATGAAGGTTGGGAGGGCGGCAGGCCGGGGAATTACATGCAAAGTTGCTCAGAAAGAAGAGGGATGGGGAGAAGGGAAGAAGAGGTGCTGATAATCAGCGTCATAATTTTAAACCCGTCTATGTCGTATAGACGGGGTCCATACGAGAGGACCTGGAACCCAGAAAGCGAGATCTTGTCCATCACGCCTCCCTCCCCGACACAACACACAGGGCCCCCCCCACCCGATCGCGCTCCTGGCCGGCTCAGCCGCTTTACTCCACACAACTCACTGAGCATATGTGTTCATAATCGTCTCCTTGATCATGGGGAAGGCCGACAGGGGGTCCGAGTGCGCTCCACCAAGCGGCTCAGGCACAATGTGGTCCATCACCCCGAACTTGACCAGCTCCGCAGAGGTGATGCGCAGCGCCTCAGTCGCCTGAGAGCCAGCCAGCAGCCAGGAGTAATTAACAAAACGGTCGAAGTACCAGGAAGTGAAAGGCGACGTCAAGGACACACCCCCACATAGGCCGACTCCATTCCCTTGAGCTGACGGGTTGGTTGGCAGGTTGGGAAAGAACGCAATTACGCGAAAGGTGGAAAGCGCGCTAGAGGCTGCAAGTGCGCCAGAGCAAATGAGCTGGCTACTTAGCAAGGCGCCTCAACGTTGCTGCTGTCTTTTCTAGTCAGCCAATGACACTGACCCAACAATAACCCACAATAGGCACAGATGAAGTTTCGCAATGCCTCCCTCGCATACCACACATTATCGGCTCGCCGCTGCCAGGAACGCCCGAGCTCGCTCCCCACACAGCCGCATGCAGACCTCGGTTTCAACATTGTGTTAAGGTGCACCCACCTCGCCCGCGGCACCCCGACTCTTCCAGAGGATCGCGGCGCAGGCCTCCGGAGAGGCGACGTAGTAGACCGCGTTCTCCATGATGAGGTTGCGGTTCGCGCATCCGATGGCCAGGGCACCACCCGAGCCACCCTCCCCGATAACCACACTGATAATGGGCACACGCAGCCCGAACATCTCCCGCAGATTGACAGCGATGGCCTCACCCTAGGAGGACGAGGCGTTGAGGGAAACAAGCGACATTCCGGATGAAGGCTAGGTTGCGTCAGGATGCGGATGCTGAGATGCGGATGCTGAGATGCGGATGGCAACCATCATATACCAATACGGTATGGCACGGCTGCAAACTCTTCCCCCTGCCAGCTGGAGCCGGCGCGGGTCCTGCGGTTGGATTGTGATGTTTCCAGGCCTCGGCGCTCTTACACGGGGAAGCACACCTAAGCCTCAAAAGGGCGCTTTAAAGTGTTCACTACTGACCAGTGCCCACGACGCGGCACAAATGGCCACTATGCCCAGCTCACTTCGGCATCTAGACTGTGCTTTCATAATTCACATTCCACGCTCGAAAGCTCAACCTGATCCACGCTGACATGGGTTTCGCGCTCCCATGCCCTAGCAGGATACGGATGCTTGCGGTACGTGCACTACCGAGAATGCTTGGGAGAACCGTACAGCTTCTATTTCCTGTCACGCGTGGTAGGCAATACAGCCGCTCGCCTAGAGGGGGAGGGGCGTCATTCGCCCCTCGAGCAACCCATTTTTAGCCCATGCAGCGTGTTTCCCGCATTTATCCCGTATTTAAAAAGACACTGGCCCGATGACGCTGGCGCTGGGGATTGCTTGTCAGTGACTACGCACCTGACCGAGCTCCTCCGCGGTCTTGCCAGCATAGGCGCCCGGGGTGTCCACAAAGGTGATGATTGGCAGACCGAACTTATCAGCATGGCGCATAAAGCGCAGCGCCTTGCGGTAGCCGTTGGGCTGCGGCATGCCGAAGTTGCGGCGGATGTTCTCCTGCAACAAGACGCGAAGAACGAGAAATGCGTGTTATAACCATAGGGTACGCGTGCATTCCGTTCATACTGCGAATAAGGGTGCGATGCAAGAGGATTGGATAGAAGAGAGACCTGACACTTGTGGGCCCAAAACCCGTCACTGATGTTAAGAGACGCAGTAATGTGTGCTACAATCACCTCATGCATGTACTGATCCCACCCTGATCGCACCCCTTTACCTTCGTGTTACGGCCCTTCTGGTGACCAATCATCATGAAGGGTGTGCCGTTAATGCTACCGATACCGCAAACGATTGCCGGGTCGTCCAAACCGGCGCGATCGCCATGCAGCTCCACGAACTTGTCAGTAATGTTGAGGATGATATCAAGGCATGTTGGACGGTTCGGGTGACGAGCCACTTGCAGGCGTTGCACGGGCGTCAGGCGGCTATAAGTCTCTTTGCGAAGCTGCAGAGAGGCACAAAAGGCAATCAATTATACCCAGATTATCACCTGCAACTACAAATCCTCCAAATAAACGCTCACCTGCCGCGCGCGATTTTCCAGCTCAGCAATGGAGGCGGTGACATCGACACCATTTTCCTCAGCAACCTTGCGCACCTGTTGTCCAGCCCAAAAATCTATGAGTTACAAATCTCTCTGATATAATGCAGCTACTACAGGCCGCATGTGTACGCTATGCGTACCTCCCTTATGCGCTTATCCAGCTCCAGCAAAGGCTTCTCAAACTCCAGGACCGCTGTGTTTTGCGACTTATCCTTCACAGGACCAAAGCGCGAGAGAATCGTGCCCAACCATTCACGACCGCCTTGCTTCTCGTCCTTTGGGGTGTCCGGTGGGAGCCTCGGCGCGGCCTTGGCGGTGTGCGTTATAGTCCGAACCCGGACGGGCCATCGCGGCGCTACAAGCGGTGCTTTCGCCGCAAAGCCAACAGATGATTTGCTCTTCAATGCCTGCATTCTAAGCGGCTATATGTGCCTGGTGAACAAGCGTGGCTACCACAAGCGAACGGCGGCAAGTGGAAACAAGACCCCAAGTGAACGCGTCCCCTATTTATACAAATACGGTAGTGTCGGGGAAAAACCACTGACAACTACTTGCGGTACGCAGCGCGCACTTGAGCGCTTTGTCCGATTCTAGATCCACGCGGTCGTCCATGTAGGACACCTTTTGCCCGAGACACATGCCCCATGCAAACTACCTTTGTGACATCACCGAATCTGTAACGCTCTACAACCTAAACACTTGCGCATTTCAGCGGTGTGTGCGCTCCTGACGAGGAAAAAGTTGAGTACGTGTCAACGCCCACGACGGCATCACAACACCCGCGATACAATCCTGCATGAACTCTGCGTCTGGCCAATTGGCATAATTTTCGACCAGCCTTGTCTAGCAGAATACTTCGCACCCCAGCCGCGTTTTGGCTTAAGTCATGGCACCCATGCAGACGACGGACGCTCAGGCCTTTCCTCGGCTCGCGCGCCAATCATCAATCTTGCTCTTAACCTCCTCATTAGGTCGTAACGCCTCACGCGTAAGAGGCGTCCTTGAGAATGGATCCGTAAGACTGTTCAGGAAATGCCGCTCGATGGTTGCCCGGTCCACGGTCATCTGCCGTATATCGCACAGCACACAAAAGGGACATTGAAGAAATGTCTAGGAAGTAAAGCACAGGTGAAGATAATGTCTAAACGGTGGATAAGCGTACCGTCCTCGGTGTTAACGGCTACAGTGACACTTCGCCAAGTCTACCCAAAGCCATCACCCCCAGCCAATCTACCGCGCAAGGGCCTAAAAACAGTTCACTGCGACCCCTATCACGGCATAAAGTCGTCAAAGCACTCGATCGCTGCTGAAACTCCTTCGCCCTTGACAGCACTCTCCCCCCCGCCACCCGCTAACCCCTTCATTTCCAAAATTCCTCGCGACCAATCCAACCAGCAACCTTAACCGTCTTATAAGGCCCCGTCAACCCCCCCAGCAAGCCATGTCTCTCTCTTGACCCCCTCCGTTTGGGTTTGATGTGGTTGTAGTTTCCTTTTCCCCCCTCTCAGCTCCTAGGGGGGTAGTTTCCTTTTCCCCCCTCTCAGCTCCTAGGGGGGTAGTTTCCTTTTCCCCCCTCTCAGCTCCTAGGGGGGTAGTTTCCTTTTCCCCCCTCTCAGCTCCCCGGGCGTCTGTCTACTACAACCCTGCCCCACCGTACCTGCGAGTCCGGCAGTATGACCGGGTCTGTCATCAGTGCAGACGTGATGGGATCCAGCAGCTCCTCGGGAACCTCACCACCACCTGCACCCGGGCCCTCGCCGCTGGCAGCCAGCTGCTGCCGCCGGGCCACTGCCGCCGCCAGTAGCTCGCCCAACTCACGTGCCCCTGTGCATGAGAGCGCACACGCACGCTCAGGGCAAAGAAATCCATCCGACGGCGTCAAGCCTCTAAACTGACTTTTGTCCCTCACCGGCCGCAGGTCTGGGGGCAGCAGCACTGGGGACGGCATCACTCGCAGGGTCCCCATGCGGCCCACCTCTCACCATCATGCAACCCACATGGCCACAACACGCCGTTGCCTCCGCAAATACACTCCTTCCAACCCGACATGGGCACCCCACTCGGCGCCTCCCCCCTCCCTCCCACCCTTCCTTCTCCTTCCCCTCCGTCCCTCACGCACCTGCGTCCAGCGCTCCGGGGTCTGCTGCGGGCAACACCACCCGCCACTCCACCATTCTCAGGTAGGCCATCTGCTTCTCTGTGTGCGAGTCCCAGTGCCGCAGTAGCGCATCCAGCAGTAGAGCTGCCCTCTCTCCCCGCGAGCCGCTGCCACCGCCTCCATCACCACCATCGCCGCCACCGCTCCACGAGCCGTCGCCGCTACTCGCCGGGCCGCTGTCCGTCCGGGACCAGGCACCCACCTCCGCCGCCTCCGAGTTGCTGCTCCCACAGTACCCGACTCCGGTTCCGGAGCCGCGCCACAGCCCGAGCAGCGCACCCACCACGGGCGCCAGCACCTGCGCCTTGTTGATCTTCTCACTGAGCAGGGTGCGCTCGATGCGCACGGTGCTGCTCATGGTGGGCGGTCCGCCGGGTCCGTCAGGCGACGGCACGGTGAGCAGCTCCGTCAGGCGGCGAGCGTCGCTGCCCTCCGTGAAGTGCGACAACACGAACGACACCACCTCGAGCAGCCTAGCATTGGTGGCCGTGGCCGTAGGAGGAAGGAAAAGGCGCACCAAAGAAACCTTTCAGGTTGGGGCCAGGCTGGATACACAGTGATTCCCTTGACTGTCCAGAACCATACAACGCTGTAAAAAAGAGTCAATAGGTGTCCTTGTGGCCGAGTACATTAACCCACAGCCGTTACTAGCACGAGCGACGACACTGATGGGAAGGACATTTGGGGGTAAGACGAACCACTGGCGACTGGAGCAGATACCAAAGAAGGGTAGTCCAGGAGAAGATAATTTGGGATAGACATTTTGGGGGGGGGCGGGAGCGGTTTTTATACAGCGGTGTGAATGTCCAGCAGGGGCCCGGTAGGGCGCCGGTAGCCGCGCCTCCCTTGCGTATGGCTTAGAAGTCACCGCCCTGACAGAGGCCTTCTCACCTGTTGAGGTTGAGGACGGTGTTCGACCCCGCAGCCAGAAAGGCTTCCGGGATGTTGCTGGTGGCGAACTCCAGCAGACGCAGCATCCCCGCCACCAGTTCGAACATGATGCCGGCTTTGCGGAACTGCTGCTGCTGCTCGGTGACGTGGCGCCGGGAGCGGTTCTCGTGCAGGTCGGCCACTGCAGGCCACCAGATCAGAGACAAGGAAGGGCGGCACAGGCACAGAGGCGCAGACGTTGGCATATGTACAGACGGCTGACCATGAGGTGAACCGTGAGACGCCATCTCCCTCCCATGCGCCGAAACCCAATTCGCGTCGGCACGCATCCGGTTAATAGTAGGTTTGGCCGCCTCCCAACCTACTCCAGTTTTTCTCTGCAGTCTTACACCCTCATCCGCCCAACCGAAGTGCCATCTATGCATCCACCCACCCACCCACCCGTTGCCGCGAATTCGCTGGTGGCCCAATTGGCCATGTTGAACAGGCGGTGCAGGAAGGGCTGCAGAGAGGGCTGATCGGGCCGCAGCTCCAAAACCAGCAGCTCCCTGTATAACGCACTGCCGGGCTGTGCACCGCCGTCGCCGACGCCACGGCTTGTCACTGTCGCAGTCTGCTGCTGCTGCTGCGGCGACGACTGGGCCTGGTCAGGCTGGCCTGGCCGCGGCTCACCAAAGCCCTGCCCCCGCACCAGCCGCAGCAGTACCTGCGACACGGGGTGCCACAGCCGGCTGTCAAACGCCGCCACCGCCGCACCCACCAGCCGCCGCCGCGCCACCTCGTTCGCCTCGATCTCCGCCAGCATGCCCGGCTGGTGCAGCAGCGCCGCAAGCACCCCAACCAGGGCCTCCTTACAGTCGGGGGTACAGATGCGCGGCTCGTGCAGCAGCGTCACGAGCACTGCGATGATATCGCCGAGCGACCCATGGTTCCGCAGCGCCGCCACACTCGGCGCCTGCGCGGCGGGTGGCAGCGGCGTGCCGGACACGGCCTCCGTGGCGTGTCGCACGGAGGTGAGGGTGTCCAGGATGCACTCCAGGTAGCACGTGGGCACGTAGGAGAGCAGTGGGCCCGGCAGTGCGGCTGTGGCGGCAAGCATGCGGGACAGCCAACCCGCCAGCGCCAAACAGGCCTCCTGCTTCCAGCCGCTGAAGAACACGACCTGCAATGAGGCGCCGGTAGTGGTAGTGGTAGTGGTGGTCATGGTAGTGCAGGGCCGGGCAGAACTCAGGACGGGGCGAGTCAGGAGGGACGGAGAGAGTGTGTGATGCGGTGTGATGGTGGCGAGAGAGAGAGAAGCTAGTGAGAGGCCGATCGCGTCCAGCGAGGCGGTGACATGGCGCGGACGGCTTAGTGCGACCCACTGTCCCCGTTCCTGTTCGCAACCATACCCCACTTCCCCGCACTACTGCCATCACCACACACCCACAGCTGCTGCTGGCCCTCCCAGACCCGTATGTGGGAGTCACCACCTTGAGCAGGCTGCTGAAGCGAATGCTGTTGGAAACCTCATGCCGGAAGACGTCCCGTGCGTCGCGCAGGTAGCTCGCGTATGCGGACGAGCCGGGGCCTGCGCCGGCTACACTCCCCCCTACGCCGCCGCCGACACCACCCGTGCCCGTGCCGGCGGTGGCACGGCGAAGATGCCGCTCCACCTCTTCCAGTCCGGCCAGGCTGCCCGCAAGCGAGTTGCCAAGGTTGTGTGTCTGCGGCGGCGCGAAGGAGCCGGAGGAGGACACAGGGGGAACAACTGTGACCAAGCTTTCGCCTCGGAATGGCGGCGTGTGATGTATGGTTTTTCAACCAAAGCTAGAGCTTGGAGTGCAACCAGCATCCTGAGTTGCACAGGATCGAGGTTGAGGGACCGTCGGTACTCTTTCGGCATGCTGAAGGTGGACGGCAGCCCTCAAGCTCTGTGTCCTCGCCCTCGTCCTCAGGAGGTTGCTCCGCGCACCCAGGCTGCATCGGGCGCCATTGCCTCCTAACCCCACCTCCTACAACCACCGCTGCCGCGACCTGCCGCCCTCCTGATTCACCTCATCATCATCATCATCATCATCATCATCATCATCATCATCATCATCATCACAGCATCCCCCTTGTTCCCATAACCCCATGGGCCCCCAAGACCCGCAATGCGAACGTCACCAACTGGACATCCCCCTTTGGCGGTAAACGCTCACTTACCCTTGCCCCAATTCCCAAACAACCACGCAACACAGTGCCGCACAGGGGGCGACCAAGCGAGCGAGCCTTCTCCCTTTTCCTCCCTTCAACCCAGGGGCCCGGAGAGCCTCACTCCAAACACTTCACACTGGGTTTCTTTCTTCCTACGTCCCCAAGCCACCTAATAAGTTCACCCAACCAACCCACCATTTTGACGCTGCCGCCCACTTTGAACGCGTACAGCGTCATGGTCAAATCCACCAGATCCGCTGCCAGCCGGGGGCACCCGCGAATGCAAGACACCACCCACGCGTCCGCCTCGCAGGGCGGCGGCGGCAACAGCTGCGACACGGGGGAGGACGTCTGGGCACTGGTCACGGCCGGTGCGCTCGTCGCTGCGGACGGCGATGGGGTCGAGATGGAGAACGTGGATGTCGACAGAAGTGACGGGGCTGGCCGCGGCGGCGGCGCCACCTCCAGCGGCGCCAGCTCCTCGGCCGAGGTGACGGGGGACTCGCGGCACAGGTGTGTCACAATGCCGCCCAGCCGCACCAGGCTGTTAATCGGCTCCAGATCAGCCTTCATGGCCGTCTGCAAGGCGTGAGGCGGATCAGAGCAATGCGGGAAGATATCAACATTACAGGAAATCAGCAGGTTAGAGGAGGCAGGCAGCGGGTAGCGGGTGACTGCTGCATGTCCCCGCTTTGCCACCGGAGGAGGATGGGACGTGGTCGTTGCTGCGTACTTGCAGACGGAGACGGGACTGGCATCGGCTTTGTTCCCCTCGAGAGCGCTGGAACACGGATTGGTGTGGTACCTGCTAGAGCGGACGTAGCGCTGGCGTGGCCTGCGCCTTTGCCACCGGGACGCAGCTACCAACGCACCCCTCTTCCCTGCCTTCCTCAGCCCCTCTCCAAGACCCACCTTGACGAATAAGGCTCCCGCCGGGAAGGTGTCCATGAGGGGCAGTGCGGACCGCAGCATGCGCACCAACACGAAGTAGGCGCTGATGAGGACAGTGGAATCTGTGGGAGCACCATCGTGGGAGCACCACAGGGTAAGGGAAGGTGTAGGTCCGGAAGGAAAGCCAGGAAACCCCACAGGACACACAGAGAGTATCCAGTGGTAATATACTACACATACACTACAATTTAGGATCATTGCTGATCATTGCTCCTGATGACGATTCTGGACGTCGCCTTTGGAATCCAGCTTCAGCCGATCACGCCTCATCGTACTTGTCTTCCCATCGCGGGTAAATGTTAATGTTACACGTTTCGATCTCTTCTTCACTCGCGTACCTGACAAGCCCGGCGGCGGAATGTCCCGTGTGGCTCCTCGGTTCTTGTGGACCAGGTAGCGCAGGAACTCCACCAGCGCATCTGCCCGGGAATCTCCCGACCCGGGACTGCCCAACAGGCAGCACATCAGCTCGTACTGCTTGTCTTCGACCTGCAGGTGGCCAGTCGCATACAAGGAGAGGGAGGGAAGGAGGAGGAGGAGGAAAAGGTGAAGAGGTGAGGATGCAGAAATTTCAGGGAACCCTAATCAGGCTACACCCGTTTTTTTCACGTATATCGCCATTAACTTTTTCACTTTCGAGCCGTGTGATTGTTCGTGTATTAACGTAAAATTTTAAAGCCATATCTGTAAACTTAGCAAGGCTGCTTGCACGCACCCGTGTGATGGCCGTACTGAGCGCCTGCAGCGCCCCCCGCATGCGGTCCCGATCGCCACTCAGCTCTGAGCAGCCGCGCCACCAGACGTGTGGCAGCAGCTGCCGTAGGTCATCGGGCGAGGGGCCCTTACGCGTCAGGAAGCCCTCAAGCGTCAGCCACAGGTTAGGATGGCGCAGCCAGGCTGCGCGCAGTGGTGCACGCGATGCCACCGCCACCGCGAGCGTCAGGTACGGACACGATGCACTGTACGGGAACTGCTCCGGAACCAACGCCGCGGAAATGCAGCGTCGTGAGAGCGTCTCCAGCAAGCAATTGACCACCGCCGAGAGCATCTCGGGCTCCAGGCACAGCTCAAGCAGCCGTAAAAGCCCGGAGAGGAGACCCCCCGCTGGCGAGCTGGCGGCAGAGGCAGTGCCGGGAGACAGGCGCATCATCGATGGCATGAGGACCGACGCAATGATGTGGGAATCTAGGAGGTGGGGTGCCAACTCGTCCACCGCTATGCTGCCCATGAGCAGCCAAGACTCCCAAGTCACCGCAAAGCTCGGCCGGGACGTCACGTGGGCATCACTGCAGCCCCCGTGCGAGTCGATGGCGACAGCTGCCGCAGCAGCCGCGGCTGCCGCCACTGCTGCCTTGCTGCTTCCGCCCCCCGCCGCGTCTTGACCGTACTGCCGTGGCTGTACTGCAGTAACGAGGCGTTCCAGACAGGTGACCAGGTACGACGTGGATGCCAAGACGCCGGCATTTGGCGGTGCTTGCATGGGCTGATAGCCCGGAGCTGGGTACTGCAGCGGCTGCGCGCCAAAGTTGAGCTCGCAGCGCTCGGCGTAGGAAAGGCTGACGGCGGGAAAGTATGCCAGGTTGGGCTGCATGGTGCGGATTCCAGTGAAGGCTACACCAAGGCTGCGGCCGTTGCGGTAAAAGGTGGCCTCGCCACGGTCCAGATCCAGACAGCAGCCAATCACATCGCCAGCGGCCCAGGCCTGAGACGAACGAGAGACGCCGGTGGGAGGGCGGTGCGGGTCTGATGGTTGGCTTTCAAAGTAACAAGCAACAAGGCGTGCCTAACTCAAAAGTTCCGTAAGTGCCGTACAAGTCGTAACATGACTTGAATGAGACGTCTGCTGTGGTGCATCGGCGCGGTGGACGGACGCCGTTGTGGATGCGTGCGTCCCTATCTGTGCTCGCCCAGGGCTGTATCAGGCTAACAAGCATCGGCAACCGTATTCCCCCTTGATGTGTCAGGTTTGGCGCCACGGCCCACACCCCCGGGTGTCCGTTGACTTTTCCCGGCACTGGCCCTGCCCTGCAAGGTCTGGCCAGTGCCGGAACCCACCTCGCCGTACTGGGTGCAACTGACGTGCCATTTCCGGACGCGTTTACCGTCAAAGGCATAAGAGTCGGGTGCGTCGCCGACGCCCTGCAACAGGCAGGCTGGGTGAGTTGGAGGGCGACGTCGTGGTTTCGACCACCAGCAAGCGTACCTCTTCCGATGTGAATGGACATTGAAGTGTCGCCCAGCCTATTTGCATAATTCCGGCTGAGCATATGGTTGTCTCATACTGCCATTTCCCCGAGAAGACGCACGCATTTGCTCGGCAAGAAGAGAAGGTTGCTGTGGATATAAGCATGCCACTTGAGCTGGTCTCCAGCTGACCCACAATATAATCAACTTCAACCGTTGCTGGTCCCAGGCGCCCTGGCCTGCTGTCCACAGCAGAGCTAGGTCCAGTGCTTTCGTGCCGAGCCCGTTCTGAGACAAGCTCGCTCAACGAAGAATACATCCCCTCCCCTTGCGTAAGAGGGCTTTGCACGTTGAAAACATATGCCGCTGCCGCGGCCTCGTCATCGTTAGTAGATGTCTCGCCTGCCAGGCCTTCAGTGTTGCCTCCTGAAAGAAGTAATGCAAGTCCGCTTGGTGGACAGGAGCCAGATCCATCCTCCTTCTCCTTAAGCCCCATTACGGCTGCGCCTTAGCTAAGATGGGAACAATCTCGGGAACCAGACTAATTAAGTGGTCGTGCTAAGTTAATGCTTAATTGCATGAAATGTTGATTTTGATGAAGTGCATACAGGAACGCGGAAACGATTATGCAAGCTGACACGGTACGCGTCAATGAGGAAGGTGAACAGACGTCGTATTTTCGCACAGACATACGCGTTTTTGAACGAATGCTTGCCTTCTCGGCTAACCTAAAATGGGATGTAAGCTCCACTTCACAGTTTGCTAGACTGTAATGTGTAAATTGAAAGGAGGATTTTCGAAGCCCATGCAACTCGGCTTGCGCGCGTAATTTTGCATGAGGGTTGTGCAGCCTGGCGGAATCCTGTCACCGTTGTCCGTTACTTTTTATAGTGTCTGTCCTGAAGGACACCCGACATCCCAGCGCCATGCTCAGCCAGGGCTGATTGGGATAAAACGCCGGGTAGGAAGGGGTAGAATTACAGGGTTTTGGAATGTCAGTGTTCCTTGCTTCATGCCGATCCTTGGCCTTTCCTCTCACAGTGCTACTGTGAAGTCAGACAATGTATTCCCCACCTCCAGGGGATGAACCGTCAGTCGCATTACGAGCAGTTAGGAGTTACCTATGTGATAAATTTCTATTAACTGCCGTTGTGTCGGATGAGTTTGGCAAGGATGACTGCCTCTTGCAGCCTGATGGCCTGATGGGTCGGGCCACCTCGGGGTCCCGGCACAGGCATGTGTGTGTGTACACCAGTTTGCGCCGCTTTCCTTGCCGCTTAGGCTGTTGCCGGCAGTGCCTCTGTCCGTTATGCCAATATGAAGTTGTGAGTGTTACATGGCCGTGGGTGCGTTCCCCGTACCTGCAAATCGCCCTAATACGAGCCGAGGGCTCAAGGGCTGCCAGATCGCCTGTAAGCACCACCCTCCGTCGCATTTCAGACAAAGCAAGTTATGAAGGATACTAACGACCAAACGGAACGATAGAGTTGCGGTGTCCATATACGTTCCAGCATCCTTCCCAGGCGTTCAGGTTCCCACTTCATAGCGTGCTTCAAATGCTTGAAGCATGGGAAATCCATATCAGATCTGATTTTGTCATACACCGGGCAGTCCAGCAAAATGTGCTTCTCATCCTCGATATGGCTATCAGTGCCGCAACAGGGGCATACTCGCTCCTCCCTAGGTACGTAACGCCGTCCCTTACGCGCGCTGGTAGCCGCCAATGCCAATATGGCCGCTTGAAGGGGCAGGTTGTACGGTGGATTGCAAGCTGGAATAACTGTACTCCTGGAAATGTAACGTCTGGGTTCTCTAAGGGGGGCTAGGTTTTACAGAGGTTATGGTAACGTGCCCGTGCTTCAAAATGTGAATACTTTCCAGCCCTGCTTGGCGCAGGGCTGGAGCAGTTACGTGCGTCAGACCGTTCGGCAAAACGCACGGTATAAAGACGCGGCAACGATTGCATGGTGTCATTTCACCTCCCAAGTGAAGACCACAATTATCCTCACGATGCATAATGGAAACCACCTCCAAAGGCACTGACCAGCCCTGGTGTGCTGACTCACGGTTACGGGTCCAAGGCAACTTGTCGCGCGGAGACATGCTAATCCTTCGCACATGGAAATGGGCGACAACCTGAGAACCTACCTACATGGCAGCTTAAGTGCTTCGTAGCGCAACGCAGGTAAGAACCAGGGTAAGGACCTTCTTTGTGGTGCCGCAAACTAACGATAATTAATAAGGCGGGATCATTACACTACGATGTCCTCCATAACATAGGTAGGTGCAAATCCGAGTAAAAGAACTGCTCGTTTCTTCCGTATGCACCCCTTCTCGTACCGTACCGCTTTGCAGTCACACTAGGCAACAGGAAACTGTCTTTTGCCCTTAGCTGACTAAATTGATTGCATCAAGCTTCAACATGCAATACTTGGACCGGAACCCGCTTGAGCAGTCTTGAGGGTCATTTTTGGACAAACCTTCATTTGGCATCCCCTTCTGGCGCTGCGCCAGCTGCAATGTGGAGGTCATATTCAGCGGCGCAGCCTGGAACCTCACCTAGCGCATTTCCCGGCACGGCGGCCCTACTTGGGCCCGGTTCTCGAGCCAGTTTCGAGCTATGCGAGGACGACAGCAGGACATCTGCAAACGGGACAAACGGTTTTTCGCGACGCAGCTCTGCACAGTCGACTTTCGGACAAAGCGACCCAGTTGACACTGCGGAGGCAGCTCAAGCTTATTTAGCGTGGCAGGCGAGCCTCTTAGCCGCATTTATGAGCAATGCAAATTATGCAACCCTGGAGAGATAAGGAATGTGCTCCCTTTCACAGGAGAACCACCCCTGCGTACTGACGCATTTCGAGTCGTTTAAAGCTGCCGTTGAAGGCAAACGCCTCGCCGTGTTCCTAGATTATGATGGTATGTTTACGTTTGTGCACAAAGACCTTTACATGTTGGAATCTGCCTGGAATAACAACGCCTGAATGCCCTACAGGCACGCTTACACCGATTGTGTCCAACCCGGATGATGCTATAATGTCCCAAGAGGCAAGTGTGCGTTCGCGGCCACGAAACGGTACCGCAGCTATCGCTCCTGGCCCTGAGTCATGCCCTGTTTGCGCCTTGAGTCTCTTGTAACCGGGTACGGTGCGTCCCTACTCCGCGGCGGCCGTTGCAGATGCGCAATGTGGTGCAGGCAGTCGCCAGGGCGTTCCCCACTGCCATAATTAGCGGCCGAGGGCGGGAAAAGGTGGAGGCATTCGTACAGCTAAAGGAGCTGTTTTATGCCGGGAGCCATGGCATGGACATCGCGGGTCCTCGGGTAAGCAGTGAGCCCCGCCAGCTCGGACCAAACAACCAATTTTGCAATGTGGACGAGCTGGCCTGGGGAAACGGGTTTAGGGCAGGAAAAACGGGTAGAAGCGATGGGCGGAAGCATGTCGGTGATTAATTGGCGGTGGCAAAATAGGCTACGTTGCCGTTGCCGTTGCTCGGGGTGAAGGCACTTTGCCAGAGACCTTTGGAGCTGCTTGCTGCACGTTCTGTATATAAGCACTATTAGCACCTGGATGGCATTTTACCGTTCGGGAGGCCACCCTATTGGAGTATCTAATAGTCGTTGAGGTCACTGGCGTTACGGGGAATATGCAAACCTACGTCTGCAGCAACTTGCCCAAGGGCCTCAGTCCCCGTCTCTCATGGTCTCACATGGTCCTACCAAGGTAAAACAATCCCGCACATGTTTTATTGTATGTGATTTCCCACATGTCACCACCAAGTGTCACCATTCCACCACGCAATGTTGCGCAACGCAGGTGACCAACGGCAGTGATAGCAACGGCGGTGGTGGTGGTGGTGGTGGTGGTGGGTGTAACGGTCGGACCAGCGGGGAATTTCCATCCGCCTTCCAGCCGGCAGCGCATTTCCGGCCCCTCATAGACGACATTTTTGAACAATTACAGCGACGGTGGGTGCAACGGAGGGGTGTATGGTGCCCCTGCATTGTGCGGTGCGGTGTGGTGGGTGGATGGGCGGGCGGGCGACCCGACGGGGGTGCCCGCATGGGGCAGTCCTCCCCTGAAATGCGACGGCGCTCTGCCAGGTCCGTTTCTTGGAGGCCGGTGGCATGGCCTGTTTAGGCTAGGGGGTTCCTGGACGTTATGCAGCCTATCCCGGGGGGGAAGAAGGCGCACGTAATGACATGCAAACGGGACAAACGATCAACACGGGGGTCAAGAGGGGCAGCAGCAGCCACTCCACCACTGGGTGCGGGCGGACACGCCGTGCCTGCTCCTCACAATACGGTAACCCACAGGCCCCCACAACTTCAGTGCCGAGATAGCCTTGGCCAGCCGCTCCCCTCTCCTTCCCCTCCCCCGCCGCTCGCTCGCGGTTCGACTTTTCCCCCGCCAGTCTCCACCCTCTCCCGAAGTTCTAGAAACGCCATTGCCCGCCTGGCTGCGCCCGCAGGCTCAAGGACGTGCCGGGTTCGAGTGTGGAGCACAACATCTTCTGCGTGAGTGCGCACTTCCGTAACTGCCCGGGGGAGGCCTGGCAGGACGTCATCTCCACCGTGGAGGATGTGGTATCGCAGCACGAGGACCTTCGGATGACGCGGGGACGCAAGGTGGTGGAAATAAGGCCCAAGGTGGGGGAGGAAAGCAGAGCTGCCGGGATGTGGGGTTTCGGAGCACCGGGGGGAAGGAAAGCAGAGTGCGCTGTGTACTTGAAACGAGTATTTGTGTATGATAGTGACGACAATGAGCGCACCACCAATTTACCACAGTGCCAGGCAGCCAAATCAATAGCAGGAGGCGGCGGTGCGGGTTTGGCGAGTGGAGAGGGTGGGGGCCGCCTCGGGACAGAGGAGGTTGGGGCGGACCTGGCCAGGGGATGATGGGAGGGGCTGGGTGAGGGCTATCATTGGACGGTGAAGTGGTGAGGGTAGGTGTGCTGGTCTGCGGCCTCGGGATGAGCCGCCGGCCCTGGTTTGACGAAGAGTGGGCTGTGGGGTGGCCTGGGTTGAGTGGCGGCTGGGAGGGAGGGCCGGTCGCTGCGTAGGTTAGTGAATTCACGATCTGGGTCGGTCTGTCGTGTGGTGGCCGCCTGGTGCTGGTCACCTTTGGTGCGTGCTGCTCCGCATGGCGGTGGTTCCTTACCACATACGTGTTCCCCACCGCCCTCGCTGCCGCGCCTCCCCCGGTCCGCCCTTCCCGCCTCCATCCCTCCCCCGGCCATCTCCAGGTTGACTGGCACAAGGGCACGGCGCTGAGCCACCTTGTGGAGGCTCTGGGGCTCAGTCAGCAGCCCGATGTGGTGGCCATATACGTGGGGGATGACCACACGGACGAGGACGCGTTCAGGACGTTGGAGGAGACGCGGCAAGGTGGGAGGTAGTGGGGATGGGGTGGTAGCGGGTTGGGGGTGGGGTTGAACAGGTGGCCAACGTCCTGGAGCTGGTCTGACGGGAAATGCGGCGAGGCTTTGGCTTTTGGGATAGGCGTGGCTGTTTTTTTGGGGGGGGGTAGCAATGGCGGCTTCCCTAATGCCGGTCTCTCTCCCCGGCCTGCCGGGGGGGATGCTGGCTGGTGGGACCACCGCACATCCGGTGGCTGTCTCCCCCCGGGCTTTCCAACCCTTCGTGCTGTGTTTGTCCCCAGATTGCGGCCGGACGGCAGTGCCCTACCTGGCGAGTGCCCTAGCTTCCGCAATTTGCGGCCGGACTTCCCTTTTCCCGCAATGTAGCTCTTGAGGACTTTCTGTTGTTGCTGCTGCCCCACCTGACTCCATCCAGCGTTTTTCTTTTCCCTCCCCACAAACTTCCCTGCAGGGTTCGGCATCTTGGTAAGCACGCGGCCCAAGCCCACTCGGGCTAGGTTCACTGTTCGCGACCCGTCCTGCGTCCAGACCTTCCTGTCCGGCATCGTGGAGTGGGCCAAGTCGGGCAGCAACGGCTGGCATGCCAACCCCTGCTGCAACGGCTGGAGCATGGCGCTCTCAGCCGCCGGAGCGGCAGGGGCGTCGGGTGGGGATGCCGGGTCGGGGAGGGGGAAAGGTCGGGGTACAGGAAATGAACCATCGTGAGTGAGGCCCGTCCTGTCTTCTCTGGGAACATCAGCCCTGCTCCTCCGCGTCCGGTGGGCTGCGGTGGTGATCCCCTTCCTTTCCTCTTGCCTTCTTTTCCATCTGCCCGCCGTCAGCGTCTCTCGTTGCGCCATCGCCTGATGCTCGTCTGTCTGTCTGTCTGTCCCTATGTTGGATGGGTCTGACTGGAAGGCGCCCACTTGGGAGTGCGGCGCATGCGGGGAGCATGGGCTTGTTATGGCTCGCTCTTTTGGGGGAGAAGGGGAGGCAAGGGGCTGTTTGGGGGGATGTCTTCACACAGACTGCCAGCCAGCCGGTCCGGCTGCATACCGGGTGTACCGAGCTGTTGTGGTGGAAGTGGTGGTGGGCTGCGGGGCAACCGCCCCACGATGGCAGGCGGTGGTCCGGGGCCATCAGGATATGCACCGGAAGAGCATGTGGCGGTTTGATAGCCGCATGTGGCCGGGACAGGGAATAAGAGCGGCATCTTGTCCCTGATGCGGGGGAAGAAGTGGAGGAGAGGGAAAGAGAGAGAGCGGAGCTGTTTCTTGACAGGAGGATGCCTTATTGTGCTGGGGATGAGGGGGAACGGGACGGGTGTGGTGGCGAGAGAGGCGGTCGCGACGGGGTTTGGGTGGGCAGCAGCGCCTCTCTGCCTTCCCGTGGTGCCTTCCCAGGGCCTTGCTGGCGCAGATCAAATTGTTCGGCCGCGCGGAAATATGTGGTCAGGGAGGCAGGGCCCCTTAAATCAGAGGCGGTGGGATATCGGGGTGGGAGTGGGCGGGGTTCGGATGGCGGCAGTAGCGGCGGTGTCGCCGCTGCTGGCCCACCGCGCTTTGCTGCAGCCCACGGAGTGCAGTGCCGGCCGATGGTGCTGCTATGTAATATTACAACAGAGCTGCTGACAGCGGTTGGCCGTATGTGGCTGCTGCTGCTGCTGCTGCTGCTGCTTGTGTGTGCGTGTATGCGCGTGCGTGTGCTTGTGAGGTTAGCACTCATGGTGGCTGTTCCTTGGCTCGATTCGTTGGTCAACTTTGGTTGCGTTTGGAAGTTGTGTGCGATGCTCGCGGAGTCCCCCAAAATGCGGTATTGCTGCTCCACACCTGTCCACGACTCAGTATGACGGTTCGGGTGCCTGATCAGATGGTGGTGGTGGTGATGTTGCAGATGGGCCCGGTGGTGGGCACGTGGTGTGGCCCCAGCCTCGTAACATCACCTCGTCCGCCTGGGATATACCGTGGGGTACAATGGGGCTGCTGCGTGGATAAGAGAGTCGACGAGTCATCTCCATCCACAGGCCGTCGTTTTGATATTTTTTGGTGAGGCGACTTTAAATCCCCTTGGGGGGGTTTGAGTGCCTTCCTGGGGTCGGTCTCCGGGCCCCTGCCGGTCTGGATGGATTGCCTGCCGCCTCCCTTCAACTGGGGTGCTGCGTGTGCATCGTTTGGGTGCACAACATGCTCGACAGCACGGGCGTTAAGCAGAACATTAAAGGGTTAGTTTACCACACAATTATATGTATATTTGTGTGACACTGTCTGCGACTTATGTTGCCACTCGGGGTTTAAAGCCCCGGCACACTTGCCAAGCAGAGCAGGATAGCTATCTTCATCAGATTTTACACCTAAGGTGGCGTTGCAACAGTGGTGGCGGTCGCGTCGGTCATTTTGCCAAGTGCTTCCTCCCTGGGCCCCTCCTCTCCTCTACTCTTTTATGCATTCACGCGCGTCTGCATCATCAGACGGATTCAGTGCTGTGTAGTTTGCCGTTTCGGCCGACTTGGGTGTTGCTTGCTTGTTTAACGGGAATGGGAGAGCTTGGGGTTAGAGGAGATGGTTCGGAATCTCCTGTGAGCCACCAGGCGCCATCGGCCTGGGAATCTTGGAAGGATTAACATGTTGGTCAAGGTAGTCGGCATGTCAGTTCCTGCTGTGTAGCTGCTGAAATTTTGCAAAAATCTCCCGATAACAACCACGTATATAAAGAGATTTGACAATTGCAGAGATGAAATGCAAATGGCCCCTATGGCTCTTCTGCGATCCATTTTGCCAGGATGAGGTAATGCAGACGCTGCTGTCGCTGCATTTCGATAGCTGCATGCGGGCGGTGTACGGACTGGGCTCAAGAAACACGCACACGTGATGTGAACTCCAAATAAAAGGTGCAGAGTGGGAGGTACATACGGGTGGGAAGATTGGCGTTGCAAGAATTCCTGTTCCCCCGCCCCCTAACTCGTGGTCAATGGGTCAGGAACCTGTGGATATAGTTGGATACATTGGGGGCCCCCCTTTCATGGCCCCACACAACAACAACAATCCCGCTGTTACTTCAGAAAGATTTAAATTAACAAAGAAAAGGAATGGATTTTGTGGGCAGTAGCTGTCCCCGAAGTGCGGAAGGTTTCTGGGCCCTTTGAAAGGGGGGCAGAGGCGGGAAGAGTGCTTTGCAAAGTATGCGTTTACATGTGTTTACGTGGAGACCACATTCACCGCTCCGATCCGAAGGGAATACGTGATAGGAATTTTTAGATTTTGTGGCGTCGCAGGAAAAAAGTTTGCCGCTGTATGTGTATGGGCGTTACCCATCTAAAAACTAGCCAGAAGCGCGCGACAGTCGTTGTCGCAAATGTACGGCTAGAGGATATGCCTAAACCCAAGGCGTCCTGGCCGTGCATTCGTATGTACAGTCAAAACAGCCAGCATTGCTTGCGTAATCAATTCTGAGTTTTGGGCCCGTTTAGCTGATATTGCAGCCCGGAACCGCCCGCTGGGAGCAGGTGCCAGTTAGCTGGGCCAGCTAACCACCCTTTCCTCGATCAAGAGAAGCTCGTGTGCCGGTTACCGGTTATTGATGAGAATTCCTGAGCCCTCACCTCTGAGTCTATTCTATTAAGTCTGACCGTACCAAGTGAGGTTTTGTGTCCAGTGAAGTTAGTACGGCCTGGCCGAGTTCTTTTTGAATAAGGCCCACAGTTGTTCGACACGTAAACACAGACGATGCTCGTGAGACGACCAAGCTGCTCAGTAAGACTAAAGGCGGGGCGATAAAGAAGCTTGATTTCGCTTGCAGTTGAGCACGACCCGCAACTCAGGCCTACCTTTCCCACCAGCTACACATCGCCCAATTAATGACGTCGATAATACCCTCGCCACTTTGCGTCTGTTCACCATGTTTCTTATGTAGAGCCTTAAATGCAGGGTTCACAGCGGACGTTACTTCGCTGGGGGAGTTGACGTGCCGAGGGTAATTATTTCAGAAGCCCGCCTCACCCCGCCTCTTGGTGCCTTTTTCCCTGCTGTTGGCATCGTTGTTTGGAGCACAGTTTTGCAAGTCTGAACATACAAGAAGTTTCCCGGTAGGGTGAAGCGGGCTGTTGCTCAAAAGTGGCTAGTTTGATACTTTCGCCCTTTTCTTGTGAGGAGTTGAAATCTGATATGCGAACTGCAATCCAATTCCTACGTCATCTCATTTTTGGCCATGAAAAAGATTGCCATTTTTATATAGTTGGGACGCAGCATAGTCAGGGCACAGCATGCATTGCACATCGGGCACATAATCACTGTTATAATGTGCTGCTTGTATTGCTTTTGTTTCCCTGCAATATTTTAAGGGCTGTAATAGCCCTTTCGCAGAGCCTGCTCGTAGGCGCTTAGCTGTGAAGTTCAATTTCCAGGAGCGCCACCATTCCCCGCTGGCTTTCCGCTGTTTAACATTTTGTCCTAGGATCCGGACTTATCAGGTTGCGTCGACCGCAAAGGCGATCCGCTGTGGTGTATGGCCAACAGCCATGGCCCCACGAGCTGCAAGCAAACGTGCGTCAGACAAAGTCAGTGGCTCGCAAGTTCCTGTCAGTTTTGCTGAACCTAACCTGTACAAGTCTATATGGCAACGCTCAATTTCAACAACCATGCGGACAGGGCCACGATGAACCAGTCGACATGGCTGGTGGCTCGCCGGCAGGGAAGCCAGCCAAGCGACCGCGCAAGCAAGTCACTGTTACGGAGGCCAAGGGGCTGGAGGCAGGGGACCCGAAACGTGCGAAGGGGAAACCGAAAGCCACAGCAGGGAATGCCGAACCCGACAGCGAAGCCGGATCAGAACCGGAGTTCGAGGTCGCTCAAGTTGGTGCCGGTAATAAAGCCGCGAAGGCCAGGTCTGCCCGCGGGGCCGTAGCCGTTGGGCCTAAGGAGGCCAGGGCAAAGCGTAAGGTCCCACAGGAGCCTCAGGGGACGGCTGGCAGCACGAGCCCGCACGAGCCTCAGGGCCCGCGGTACTTCCTGATGAAAAGCGAGCCGGAAGAGTTTTCTCTGGACGACCTGGCAGCTAAGCCCAATCAAACATCCCATTGGGAAGGTACGAATGTAGCAGGATTATGCGTGTGCGTATGGGATTGGGTAAGGCGAGAGGAGCGCGGGAAACGGGCCGTTACCCTCTGCAGGCCTCCACGGTTACTGCCGGTTCGGAGCTGGAAGACGAAAAACGGAAGACTGTCACGAAGCCAATAACAAGCTGGCTATGCTGCAGAAGAGGGGATGAGAGAGAGAGAGAGAGAGAGAGAGAGAGAGAGAGAGAGAGAGAGAGAGAGAGCGGAGGGAAAGGAACCAGCACAGCAAAAGCAATGTGCTAGGCTCGGCAGGCCGGAAACGTGTCTTCCTTTATACACCTTTTAGGATCACTTCACCTCCATGCCACTTAAGTTCCCCCCTCCTCCCTTCTCCTACGGGTCTCTCCCCCCCCCTAGGTGTTCGTAACGCCCAGGCGCGCAACATCATGCGGTCCATGCGGCTGGGGGACGAGGCGTTCTTCTACCACAGGTGCGCTGGTGGCGCCCGTGTATATGCATGTACATGTACATGTTGGTTCTTCAGTCTGAGCAGCGATGCGGGAGCAGGCCGAAATGGGGGTGCACGAATAACTGTACCGATTATGTATCTCTGTAAGTGCGTCACTTGCGTGTTGAAACGGCCGCGCATGTGCCTGTGTGCCTTCCTGTATCCTGTGTCCTTACTCCTGGCTTCAAGGCTTCCCAAGTGCAAGGTGCATCACCGCTATCATGGCTGGCATTGCTGAGGTGGTTCCATTAGGTGGGCGTTACAGGGATTTATTAACGTTGGAGCTCGAAAGGAAACACAGCTGTTGTGGATAAGGTTCGTGGGGCTTCCAGAACTGACTGCGGACCGTGGCCACTCCTCAGCCCTCCACCTCCCTCCCTCCCTGCGGCCCTCATTCCCCATCCCGGTGGTCCCACTCGGGTGTCCTCCTCCTCCGCCGCCGCCTTCTCTTAAAGCTCCTGCAAAGTGCCCGCTGTGGTGGGTGTGGTGCGGGTGGTGCGGGAAGCCTACCCCGACCACTTCGCATTTGACAAGGGCAGCAAGTACTACGACCCCAGCAGGTAAAGTGTGGAACGGGGTGGTAGGGGGTGGGATGTGAGTGGCCGCGAATTAAACGTTGGGAAGGGCCAGCTGAGAGGTGGCGCGTTGTGTGATGATTAGCTGTCACATTAGCCGCATGGGACGAACGAGCTGGGGCAGCTGCGGGGCTGGGGAGACCTTCTTCCACGCCTACCCTCGGGTTGCGAATCCCATGCCCCGTGTGTGCACGCTGTTCCTAGCCCCTCCTCTCATCCTTGTCCCCTCGCAACGCTGGTTCCCCTGGTGGTGGCCACCCCTGACGCTGCCCTATATACCCCCCTCCACAAACACACACACCCTCTGCTGTGCAGCACCCCCGACGGCCCCAAGTGGTGGATGGTGGACGTGAAGCTGGTGCGGAGGATGAGCCGACCTGTGACACTGGCGGAGCTGAGACAGGAGGGAACGAAGGGGCCGCCCATACGGGACATGGTGCTCATCAACAAGTGAGGGGAAAGAGGGGCCAGAGAGGGGCGGTATTGCGCCGCAAGGGTCCGCGGAAAGGGACGCCGGGGGTCGCCTGGGGCCGTAGGGGCCGGCAGGTGAGAACATCAGGTCGATCTGTGGGTTGCCCTGAGTTGTGTAGGATTGGTCGATGCGGTGCGGGACCCCTTTCTCTCCCTCTGAGCCCTACTGAGCTCCACTCAGGGAATCAGACCCTCCTCCCTCCTCCCTTTGTGCCGCAGGTCCCGGCTGAGTGTGCAACCGGTCACATCGGAGCAGTGGCAGCGGATACTGGAACTGGAAGGGCAGGGAGAGGGGCAGGGGCAAGACGAGGAGGAGGAGGAGAAAGGGGGGACGGGAAAAGGGAAGAAAAAGCAGGAGGGGGCAGTAAGGAAAGAGAAACGGCGGTAAGGGGCGCGGTAGGAATGGTATGGCGGATGAAGTTCCCGCCCAGCAGGTGACTCTAGCAGGAGGCGAGGGAGTGATAGCAACTTAGGCCTGGAGCTGGTCGGGTAGATGGATGGATGGATGGATGCCTCGCCGCACCTTTTCGGTGTATTGTTCTGCACTTGACTCCGCGTTGAACTGGAGGTGGGGAAGCGTCAGTCTGGGCGTGCAGCTGCATGGCGGTCAATGAAGCGGGGTGGGACAGATGGTCTTGTTTCATGGCCTCATGTGGATATATGTGACAGTAGTCCTACCTTGTCGGTGCAGGTGGCGCCTCTGGCAGCAGGTGGCGCTACACGGAATGCACTCAAACTGGAGGATGTGCCGAGCAGACGACTTTGTCATGAAGAGCGGTTTCCGTGCCTTCTTAGGGTCATAGTGTTTGGTTGGATTAAATGTGCTGTGTCTGTGATGCGTCTTGTATGCCCTCCTAACCTTCCAATATTTTCTTCCAGACCAGACCAGTGAGTAAGAGGAATTTGAAACTCGTTTGAAACCGTTGACTTTTAAGCGGTTGGCTGTTGGCTTTTCCTGGACGGACGATTTCCGGAAGCCCGCTATATGTCTACATAACCGCCATCCTGAAAGGTCCCGTGGCAAGCAAGTCACGAGTGGCGCTATCGAGCGTCGCCTGGAGCCTGGAAAATGGCCACCCTGCGATTTCCTCACGGGAAACTGAATCTTAATGCTTGTCCTTTATGCAGTACGCCTGTACAACACATGCACGCCCCATGGTTAAGACGCTATCCTTTTCTTCGGCAATGAACATGGAGCGCCCCCATGTACGCCTGCCGTGCCGGAGGAGAGCTGGAGACCATCAGCAGAACACTTGCCGAACCAATTGTCATCTGCACCTCATATCCCTTCCTCCCCCCCTACATACACACAACCGGTGCTGGCAACGGGCCCCACGCCGCATTGCCACTAATCAGTCAACAAGCCCGAACTCCCCCCTTTCCGACCTAGCTCCAGCTTCAGCTCCCGCGGACCAAAACCTCGGCCGGCTCCCAAACAAGCGCTTCGCACCCTGACGCTCCTTACACCTTCAGGCACGTATCCCCCAACAAATGCACCACCGCACTCCTACTCCTCCTACTCCCGCCTCTTCCACCAGCCCCCACACCTCTGTAACCAGCTCCCACACAATTACCACTATCCCCACCCAGGATTAAGGGGTTCAACCTGCTTTCCCCACCTTTTCTTCATCCCTCCCCTCCCGCTGCCGTCCCTGGCATCGGCACGTGTATTCGCACGTGCACGTCCACATGCCCCACGGGCTCCCTGGAGTGCCGCGAGTCCCGCAGCGGCATCCGGATGCCCGTGTCGTCGAACAAGCGAGGTGAAGGCACGAAGTCCAGCCGCTCGGAAGATTCCAACGTGTAACCGTCAACCACCGCCGCACCCGCACGTAGGACGGCGCTTCCTATTGCTTCCGTACTGCTGGTAACGTCATACTCGACAGGCGCGGCTACGGCATATAAGGATGAGGAAACCAATGTGGCGGAATGAACATGTGCGAGGTGGAGGTTGCGGTTGCGATATACGTTGGACGGAAGCATAAACGCCGGGCTGTAGAGCACGCATAGAACTGCAATGCGATGTTGCCCCTCGAAGCCCGGCCTTTCCTTTCCCCTGCCGGCCCCGACATCTTCATCCCAGCTCAGGCGATCTTCCCCCTCCCTCCTCCCCCTTTCTCCTGACCCCGACTCGACTTACGTTCGTCGCCCTTCTTCTTTCGGCCACCCGCACCCGCGGCTTGCTTGCCCCGGCCGCCGGCTCCGTCTGAGGCGTCCGGGGCTGTAGGTGGGCGGGGCACCGCTGTCAACGTGGTCTTGTACATGGTCACCGTAACGCCTGTTGGTGCGGATGTAGGGGGAAAGAGAGGGATCAAGAGAGCAGTGGGAAGGGAAAAGGGGGGAGGGGCTGCGGGCGCCGGAAGGCGAAAGGCCAGGAAGAGCCCCCCAGGTTGGCCCTCATAGTGGTAGAGGAGATGTAGAGGCTCCACGCGTGGTTGCAACTGTCATCCCTTTCTCCCCATGATGGTGATGATGATGATGATGATTACGCTTGAGAATTGTCAGGAACTCTCAGGACGGCTTCATGGCAATAGAATACGCAAGTACATACATACGCGCAGCTGTTAGGGGGAGGAGGAGCAGCAGCAAGCCCTTCCCTATGCACCGGCTCGCAATAATCCCACGTCACGGACGGACGGACGGATGGACGAACTGCCCGCCCGATGAGCGACGCCATCCACCCCAGCTCCCCCCCTACCGGATCGCAGCCAGTTGCGGTGAGCCGCCGTCGCCCTCAGCGGCAACGTCACCCTCAGCAGCCCCGTCTCCAACTGCCGCGGCTGCCCTGCCTCCGCGGGTGCGGGCGGCCCCTTGGCCTTCTTGCCCTGCGGTGCAACAAACACGACGACGGTGATGACGACGAAGAGAATTATGATGATGATTGCCCCTTACGATTTAATCCCTGATGCGGGGCAACAGCAGCACCACGGTAGTAGATACAGAGTTAAAAGGTTTACAAGCTCCGCACAATTTTTTGTGTGGGCCGTCCGTAAAAGCCAGTGGGGGGACCATGGATGGCCAATCAATGGCCATTATTGTGTTCGGAGATAGGAGGGTCTCATCCTAAGACCCGCTGCATGGCCCCCTGCCCTGCCCAGCCCAGCCCAGCTCGGCCCCTGAGCCCGGACAGCTCGACAGCTTAACTGGCCCCTGCCCAGCCCAGCCCAGCTAAGACCTTGGAGGGTGTGCCGGGTTTGGTTGGGGCTTTCTTGGCGTCCTTGGCGGCGGCTGCAGCAGCCGCGGCTTTGGCCTTGGGATCGAACATGACGGTCACGTCGGGTGGCGTGGGTGCCACCAGTCGCAGAGGCACGCAGGCCAGGGGGGAGCCTGCCGGGTGAGCCGGGAAGCGGGGAAGGGGAACGGGACGTGATGTCCTGCAGGTAGTGCAGGGAGACAGGGTTTCCTCCATGCGACCGTATGGCATGTAACAGTTGGCAGTTGGCAGGTGTTTAGGGGATTGCCACATGCCGTTGCACCGGTCACACTCAGAGCCGAGAGCCACAAGCACCACTAAACGGGATCCAACGGCATCCAACAAGAGATGAAATGGCCCAGCCAAACCCTTACTCCCCCTCCCGCTCTGCAAACCTTTCTTCCCATCCACCTCCCCCTCGCGCGCGCGAGAGAGAGAGAGGGAGCGGAAGAGAGGGGGACGGGGAGGGGGAGAGAGCGAGCCCCACCCACCCTCCACGTCCGTCATCTCAATGTGGTAAACCACCGGCTGCAGCGGAGGCACAGGCGCCTCCAACGTGGGCGGCACCGTCATGCCCAGCTCCTCGGCGGTGGCGATCTGCTCGTCCCACCGCTTCTTCAACCACGCGAACGGGTCCTCCGCCGGCCGCAGGCCCCGCAGCGTCAACGTGACTGCCGTACTGTCGACTGAGGCGGCTTCGGCAGCGCTGTCCCCCTCCTCGAAACGCACCGTCGCTGCGGCGGCGCCACCAAAGGACCTGCGGCCTGCGGGTCCCAGCAGGCGGCCGGTGCTGGGGCTGGGCCCCAGTGAGCCCCCCCCCCCTCCGGCCCCTGATTCGGTTCCGGAGCCCTGTTGTTGTTGGAGGTGGCGGTTGCTGCTTCCGAGCAGAGAGTTGGCGGTGCTGGGGCGGCTGGAGGCGGCTGCGTCCAGTCGCTGTGGTGCGGTGCGGTGGGAGTTGGGAGTTGGGAGGTGAGCATCTGAGGCATGTGTGAGTGTATGCATGTCTGTCAGAGAGTCCGCCTGCCGAAACCCCCAGCGGACTGCCGCCTCCTAATCCCTGTCACATACGTTTCTAGGTAACCTCACCGCAAATTCAACAAACCCCAAGTTGTCAAGTGCGCGCACACGTACACGCACATCCTGATTTGACTTTGGCATGCCTCCAAGGTGACACACACACATACACACACACACAAACACACACGCTTCCCCCCGGTAACCAGGGCATCCAAGTCCACGGCAGTGCAGGCCCGCGCCAGTGCATGCTTACGTCGTTACCGCCGCCCCCCATGTCCCTCCCTCCCTTCCCCACACTGAGAACACCCCCCTCCTTCGACGGTTCCTTGGCGGCTCTTGTCAGTCTTAGGGTTTCACCGCCCGAGCCCCCCCTCCCGGTCCCCCCCTGTGGCCCGCTGCCCCTATATGCAGTCCCACCTGCCCGTCCAGGTACAACAGCTGCTTTAGTCGCCCGCGGGTCTCCCCCTCGTAGCGGGGAGCCAGGGCCAGCGGGGTGCCCGCCAGACTCAGCGCCGCCAGGGAGGGCAGTGCGGCCAGCTGAGTGAGGGTGGACTGGGGGGAAGGGGGAGGTGGAAGGAACGGGTGGGGTGACGGGAAGGGAAGAAGCTTTAGGTATGCGTGTCTGTATGCCTGCCTACCTGTCTGATGACTTACAACCAGTTATCAACACACGTCTACGACCGCCTGTCTACGAAAATCGCCTCAAAGGGGTGTGGGGTAGGGATGAAGATGAAGGGTAGGGCGGTCACTGTCGGTCAGTCTAACATCCTGCTGTAAGCCGATGAGCTGGCTGCCACACACAGCCCGCGGTGCCGCTCTGCCCCGCTACTTGGCCACAGCACCCCCTAGATGATATCATTCCCCTGACACCACCACCATTCCCCCGACCCCGACCCCGACCCACCACGAGGCCCTCCAGGTCATTGTGTGAGAGGTCCAGGGATAGCAGCGGACTGGCAGCCAGCACGGGCTCAGGAGGCAGCTCCGAAACCCGGTTGTACGCCAGACCCGCGTGCTGCAGAGATTGGCTCCGGAACGCAGGCTCTATGTTTTGGAGCCTGCCAGGCGTC